TGCAATTAGGCACTTCAAGATGAAAATGGTAGGCAAAATTAGATCCACTCAGCTTTGTAATGCTCAAGTTGAGAAATGTTTTCCAGAAAAGAATGCATGCTCCAACAAATTTGCAAGCGTTCCTATGAAATTCTTTTTACGATTTTCCAGATATAAACTCCATCAAGGGAAATGGAATCTCAAACAGAACGTAAGAGGTGTCAAAAACATAAAAGACCATGAAAGCTGTCACTTGTATAAGCTGTCTTCCCCAACAGAAAATAAGCAGCAGAAGAATAGTGGGAGAATGGTAATTGCAAAAATAGACTTACTGAAACAATGTACTCCATTGTCTCACTTGATCGCATGAAGCAATAGCAGTGAATCAAAGGTAAAGATGCCTTCCAATATCTCCTCTGTATAAGCCCTCTAAATGCATCTGAAAATGAAATTACAAATCCAGTGATATCCCATCTCTTTCCTCTCAAGAGTACAACAATAGCAAAAGGAAAAATCATTTGTCCATCAATTTCTGACAAAGTGATGACACGTTGTAATCAAGCAGGTAAACATAATTGGCTGTTATTTTAGCAACTAGTTCAGTGAAGAAAAGAAAAAACCAGAATAAAGCCATCTTGCTAATCTGAAGTACTTAAAAGTTGGTTGCTGCGGGTGACAGACACACTGCATATACAGCATCTTGCCACAGAAAGCTTCTGCATTGATTTCAGTACAGCCAATTTGAATTCTATGGTGCATTTAATTAAAGCAGAGACTCTCTGATTCCACTTAATTAACTTGCCAAAGTTTATAGTTCCAAATATCAACTCTCTCTCTCTCTGTCCTTTATTTTTCTTTTGAGAGGTAGGCTATGATGGGGCTGGTGTTCTCATATCTTCTAAATTTCATCATGGAGTAGATTTTATTACCAAGAAATTGGAGAGCAGAGGCTGGCAAGTTCATGATGACATGATCAACATGCTCCCAGGGCTTGTTTGTAAACGATTCGGAGCTTTTTATGCGTTTATTTGAACCGTGTTTCGTCCTAGCAATTACAGCAACATCAGCGCTACCACCAGTTCCATTATCTGCAAGAGAAAGTGCAAAGCAAAACTTAGGTAAACATTTAAGAAGCATCAAAAGCAACAAGATAGCCCTAATGCGTTTAAGCATTTAGTTTGACACTCTTGAAACATTATTGTACAAATGAATTGTTCATACAGCACTAAATTGTCTCAAAATATAGCTATTTATCTATTTTCTCAAAAAAAGAGTTCATCTTCATTCAATTGACAAGTATCCTTTGACTGATCCAACCATACCTTCAGAACGCCTTTTTGCTGTAATTACATTAGCATTAGCCTGCGAACACAAGTTCTCAACAGTCTCAAGCTTGTATGAATTATCATCAAATTTGTCTTTCACCTCATCTGCAACAAATTTCATATTAGATCAAATTACCAGGCTTTAACTGAAGGTAAAAAGCAAATGAAACAGAATACCTGTCACATTTCTATCTTCAAGCTTAATTTGCCCTTCTCCGGATGTCATATCTTCGCCAGATGATTCGAATTTATGATTATCAGATTCAAGACTACTCAAAGGCACTGTCATCAGTTGAGCAATAAACTTTCTAGCATCCATGTTGTAGGCATGAACCAAATCATCAACTTTGTTGATTCTTGCATTTATCTTCAGAAATCGTATACTGTCTGGGTTCAAATCATTTGCATATACTAGGCAACCTTTCTGAGCTGCAGGAATAGCAAATGGACCTATACCAGCAAACATATCACAGATAATTTCCCCTGGCTGGAACAGTGAAATCAACCTTAAATGTTCATGTTCTAGTCTTGAGTTCCAATAGACTAAACTATAATCAAGCTTGAAAATTGCTCCATATTGCTTGACTTCAGTTTCCATATCATCTTTGCCAGCAAGTACTTCAAATTTTGGCACACGAAACTCATTGGTGATGGTTCCAACCTTGTTTACAACGGTCTGGATTCTGGGATAATTTTTCTGAAATAAAAAAATAATTTTAAGATAAATACACAAAAGTCAGAAAGAAAAGCATGCAGTTTAAAACGATGATCTTGAACAACATATATGAGTTATTGCATGAAATCTGTGTCAGATAATATGAGTCGGAATTGGATGCTCATAACATCCGAAAATGAAAGAAACCAACTTAAAAGAGTTAATTGTTGAATCTCCTACAAAAACTTTGCCTTGTATTTCTAACAATTCTGATCATTCCTTTTTCTGAGTGGCGGTTGTAGGAGATGTTTTATTAAAACATCCTTTATTGTAGAGGGCAAAGTGGAAGTTAAGAAAGTGACAATAAGTGACAACTAGAAAACCAGCATGCTCTGACTTTTAGTTGTAAGGTGCTCTGGCTTCATGAAGTAGCAAGACTTTTGGTTAACTTTCACTTTTTCTCCAGGGGATAAAACAGATGTACTTTGTTTACCGCCATTCAGTCACACCATTGCTTGTAAATGTCTTTCAAATACATGATTGTCCAAGAAACACAATTGATGTTATAAATGAAGTCAAACATACATCATAGATGACTTTTGCAATAACATCCTTGTAAGGAAGAAGCTCATCACTTATATTCAGATGGGCAACATGACCTGCAAGCAGATAAATAATGAATGTCAATCATCAAGGCAAGATTGATAATTCGAATAACTTAACACATCAGAAAAAGTAGGAAATGAAAGAACCGTATATACGGCATTTTTGTGCCATACAACAAAAGAAGAGAAAAATAATGTAGGATCACCAGGGAGGGAGTTACACCACCAAAAAGATACTTAACTATTGTCTCAAATGATGAGGGTGCTTCCACTCCAGAAGGCAGAATCTGCTTCAGTATATGATCTGAAACAAAATCATTCTGTAAGAAAATGAAAACTAGTAAAAAAAAATTAGACCATTCTCCCAAGAAAAAAAGGAGGAAAATTAAATGCAACTATAGCACATGTATCGCACTGCAAAATATAAAAAGTGTATCACGGAATATTGCATGTGTCTGCAAAATATAAAAAGTGTATCACAGAATATTGCATGTGTCTAACATCCAAAACTTTGATGAACTCCTCGGGGAAAAAAAATAAAAGGAAAACATGGTAACCTGCTGTCCAGTAAGAATATCCAAGTGTAACTGAATATGGAACTACTTCAACTTCGAACAGGGATTTCAATTCAGCAAGTTTTTCATCAGGAATATCAGACAAATCTGTTCCATTTAAAAAAAAAAGTTAGCACGATTTAACAACATAAGTAGAAAACATGCTTAAAAAAACACACAAGTAACAACAATCTAAAAAAACTAGAAAGCAGGATTGAAGAACATCAACATTTGTAGTAAACCACATTTTCCAAAAACGAAAAAAAAATAATAATGAGCACAACAAGAATTAAAACTTAAATAACATATTAAAATGCTAAAAAATGAATCATTAAAGCAAAAAAAAAATTACCAGGATTTTGGATATTTTCGGAGAGTATCAAATACCGGGTTTTATCACTGGTTGGATCTTCAGTTATTGGCTTAACCCGGGGCCTATCAAGCATGTATCTAGACCAAAAAAAAAAACCCAGAAATTTATTGTCCTTCAATTTCTTTTCCCAAAACTAAAATGATAAAAATTGTTCTACCCGTTGAGAACCCGAGTGGCGAGCTTGCAATGCTCCCGAGGAACTCGAATTGCCCACAATTTCAAATGCAAGTCAAATTTACTCTCGTCCAACGCCATTTTCATGCCCTAATTTTAACTGCTTTTGATCAAATTACTGAAACAAGAGGGGGAGGAGAAAACAGAAAAGTATCCGATGACTATAAGGAGAAAAATTATCGAAGAAATTTTGATTAGCGGGATTGCAATGGGGGAAAAGAAGAAGAATACCTGAATCCGAAACGCTGTCGTTTTGAGCTCCGAAAAGCTAGGGTTTAACAGGCGTAAAACAAAATTGATTAACGGGATTGAATTCTGGGGAAAGGAGAAGAATACTTGACTCCGTAACGGTGTCGTTTCCATAGGTTTTAAAAATCTAGGGTTTAAAGCCAGAAAGTGACTGGATTCTGTTCTTGAGCCCAACGTTGACCTACAAATGAGTTTTCTTCAATTTGGGTGCTGCGGCCCCAAAAAGTGGGCTGAAGCTTTATTCCCTTTTTTTTTTTTTGGGGTAAATTCAGAGGCCTGTCAAGTTTAAACCTTTGTATTCCAAGGTTCCGTTTGATAAAGTTGAATCTGAATTCTGAAGTTCGAATTCTGAAATCTGAATACTGAAATAATTAATTTACTGAATTTTAAACACTGAAAAGAAATATGTGAATGTCTGAATTTTAATGCTGAATCTATTTATACTGTTAGATAAACATTTATAACTGAATACTTAATAAGTTAAATTTAACAATTTTGCCCTTATATCTTTTCATCCAAAAAAGAAATAGAACCTATGATTTAATTAGTTTAAAATTTTTAGGTATGAAAATGATAATATTTATTTTTAAATCAAATTAATATAAAAGATAAAATATGTTATATGATGAGTATGGAGAATATGTGAAATGTGACAGCCCCACCATCCCCTAAGGCGTACCAAAGGGGTTAGCGGACTGCTTGCCCAACTCTTGTCAGGACTACGGAATCAAATCACTTAAAACCCTACAACCGCGCGATAAACCCCAAAGAAAACAAATAATTGGAGACCACCAAACCAAAATAAAACTTATCAAACCATACGGTGCAATAGATCTTCGGTTAATCACTTCAACGACCACAAACAACGAAGAACGAAAACGAAACGAAAATGAGCAGCCGCTGACACGTCACAATCTGGCCAAGACTTGGCCGGATTGCGGGCCGGATTCAAGGCAGTGAGTACTTCAAAATTTTTTCAAAATCCCCTGCGAATCCGGCCAGCTATCCGGCCAATAACTGGCCGGATATACGGCCGGATTCTATGAACAGTTTTTTTTTTCTGCCAAAATTTTTCTTTTGCTCAAACTTCACACTTGTCCGAATTCCTACACGGATATCAGAAGTGTTCATCAAAGCCAAGTAAAAGCATCATCTCAACAAGTACACTTAATTTACATGATTAAACTCTTTAAGATATACAAACATTGAAAGGTTTAAAAGTTAAACTAGCAATACAAGTTGGAATATTCACGAGGGATCAAAATACATTTAGGGTTTCGACTACAGAGGAGCTTTACAAAAGAATAGCTAGAGCTCGCTCTACTCTTTCTTCAAAATCGTGATTCAAAAGTGTTGTTCCCTGTAAGGAAAACAAAAGATAACATGAAGGGGGTGAACTTACGCTCAATGAGGTACCAAAAGTACTAGTAGTCAAGAATCATGGCATTTCACCTTTAATCAGTCGAACACACATACCAGACATAAGAATGAAACAATTGAACACAGGAATTCAAATGGAAAGGATACAGGTGGCTCTCAGGAGTCAAAATTCCCCCAATTGCAGTACTTGATCCCAACTCGTTGACTCTCCGTCAACGCTCGAAGAACAAACATGACCGTAGACCCCTCTTACGCCAAATCCCGTTCACCAAGCATACCCCTTACCGAGCCCGAACGCCAAACAGGAAACAGGAATGATAATACTCGAGTATACCGGAATCAAGAGTCTCAATACCCAAAGATTCCTCAAGAACAGACACCCATGGATTGTCAATTTCCTCGACCAAACCCTTGCTGGCTCGATTTAATTAACTCCCCATGAGGTTGAGCTCAAGTTTAACAGGAAGGTCGTTGGATACACTTCCAAACGACATCAGGTCAAGCACAGTACAAATTTCCAGTTTATACAGTAAACAGTCCCACAGGCAAGGGAACAAGTAACAGGTTCAAGTAATATGTACAAATAAGCAAGAGAGAGACGAATGTGATAAAGTACACCCTCTTCTCGTTCAAAATTAAGCAAGTATTACAATCAATCAAGTCACGTTTTGTAGGTACAGGTAAAACAATTATGCAACAATTCGTGCGAGTGGTACACTCACCAATTCAAGCAAGGATAACTTCAAAAGTTTCCTTTCCAAGTATGACTTTAATCGCCGGCACTTCCTAGAACAATCAAGAGAAAACACTTAAGACTCAACTCCAATGCTTAGTAAATGGAATTTGCAGGTGAGACTCGTTTGCGACTCATATGCCTAACCACATGAACCATTAATACAACACAAAGATATAGTTTTGGAGTGAAAAGATAACAATTAGTCCAAAAGGCATGAACGACCTCAAACCCCTTCACCTCAACCCAAAAACCATACCCACAATGCTTTACCAACTCCAAATATGAAATGGAAAATGAGAGTAAGAACAATTCTAGGAAAATAGGATTTTCCAGTTTTGCGCGACCCTAAATGAAAAATCATATGTCAAGTTTCTTAAGTCCAAAATTGATAAAATTTATACCGTTGGAAAATGCATTCAAAGAGCTACAACTTTCCAGAAGACACCATTACAGGATTCAGAACACAAGTCAGTCAAATTTGAGCCTCAAGTTGCTGCTTCAACCATCACAAGACAGAACAGGTATGCAGTTTTCAGTTAATTTTGAAAAATCACCATAAATCGTACAGACAGAAACAGGGTCTGAAATTTTTACGGTTTGTAGTTCTATGAATCTAATTTCAAACGCAATAAACAGAACTCAATTCTGACATTTCTACATCAAGATATAGAAAATTTCCCGAGACTGTACAGAAGCTCCCACGAAAATTTTGACAGCACTTCCCCTTGTCTTTCTTTACTTTTCCAACCAAACCTCAACACCCACTCACTTCTCAACTCCACTACAATTACACCCACAAATCACAAGCTATCAAACACCTTTAATTAGAGCCACAATACCCTTCAAAAACAACCAAGTGGTAGCTCAACAAAGAAACCCTAAAGCTGGAATATTTGCTACACAAGCTGAAATTCTTTGGAGACAAGCAAAGCTAGCATTTTCAAGCTCAAAATTACTAATAACACACTACCAAATCATGGCTAAACATCAACCATCATATGAGGACAGAAAATTTACTATAAAAACTGAAATTTACCATACCCCTACTTAAAACCATAAACTTATCCACAAAACTACACATTTAACCTCTCCAATCCACTAATTGACTATTATTAAGAGTAAAAGGAAATTTTCTAGGGAATTTACCTTGAAACTTGAGGAAAGATGATAGTTTAGGGTTTCTTCTACAAGAATCACTTCACCAAGACCTTTGTTCTTCCTTAGATAAGACTTTTATGGAAGGGTTTGCAATTCTATCGGTTGAAACTCCAAATTTTAGCAAGAAATGAAAGGACAAATTGAAGGTTCTCTCTTGGTTTTTCTCCTTACAAGGGCCAGCCAACAAGCTAGAGAAATGAAGATGATTTTGGTCAATTTTGATATTTAGTAAAGGTGATGAATAATAGGTCAAAGTCCACCCTCCAATGGTTTCATGACACTTGTCCTTTCCTATGCTAAATCTTATCCTTTTGTCTACCAAGGTTAATCTATCTAGATAACCTCCAATTATCTCCTAACACCTAGTAAATTAATCCCTTTATAGTAAATTAATCCCTTTATGTAAAACTTAACCTAATTGGCCAAAATTACCGCACTTAGCGCACTAGCGGGTCCCACGTCTAATATACACTCCTAATATCTCATGAACTATCTTATACTAGGAAAATGATTTAAAACCTATATTTACTCATAAAAATATCTATGAAATTAATATAGTAACAAAAATATAGAAAACATGTGAAAAGAAAGAAAATCATGCCTAGAAATTAAGAAAATTTTCGGGTTCTCACATGAAAGTTATTAAAAAAACAGAAAAGAGAAATAGAAAATCATTAAATAGAGAATATTAAGTTGTTTAATTAGATAAGAATTTTGAATATAATTAATAAGCAATGGTAGATTTGGTAGATAAGATAAGGTAGTTGAAGTAATTCTATTGATTCTTATCAGAATTAAGCATTCAGTTAGGATTCTTGTGCTGAAAAAAATAAACACAAGTTCAACACTACTTAACAAATTCAGCAAATAAATTTTCATTTATCAAACACTCAAAACATCTGAATATCTGAACCTTTGTATTCCAAGTCTTGCTCCGAAAGGGTACCTCTGTTTTTATTTTTTTTGGGCTAATATTTTTTCGAAGGAAATTCTTAAGTGCAAAATCGAAATTGACACATACTAATATGGATTCCTTATTCAAATCCAACATTTTTAATTCCTTTTTAAGTTACTGCTTACCTGCCTGATTTGGATGTTGAGTAGATATTTTGCTATTTTTTCAGGGGAAATAATAGGTCAAAGAGTTGTTATAAAGGACAAAGGGGATTATGATATGACCAATTGTATACAATTCTTACATAGGGAAAGCTTGGAGAAAATTTCTTGGAAATTCTAAACTTTGTAGTATAGGATCACAAGGTTTGCTCGAGCAACACAATGGTCATTATTACAATTTTGTAGTGTTGGTTTGGTAGGTTGATCATGGCATGACTTAATTGCAACTGTGGAGGGTACTTCACCAAGATTGTACTTTCTTGCTAATTTAAATCAATCAAGGAGAAGATTTTTGTTAATCAAGTAGATAAATTAGGTATTGTAGTTCTAAAGACATTGAGTTGTAAATTTTTGCCAATTGAAGGATAGCTATAGAATGGAGTTTGAATCATAGAATTGTTTGTACTTTCTGATTCTTTGCACTAGTTAGATACTTTTGTTTCCTTTTGGAAAGTTTACATTATATTACTAAGGGGCTCCTCAAGTTATGTACTATTATTTTCTACATCAATGGAAGGTTATAAATTTTACCCAAAAAAACCAAACAAATACATTGAGTTGAGGGATCCCAGCTAAAATTGTTTAAATATTAGTAGCAGAAGCAAAGTTAAGATGATAGAAGTTGGACAGTCAAAATAACCTTTTAAGCCTGTAAATGACTTAGCAGTCTTAATTTATCCTAGGAAGGTGTCATTCTTGCAGTATGACTCTAGGTAGATGTGCCATGTCTGGAATTGATCAAGCTTTAACTAGTGATCTAGTAATTAATCATTTAGCATATAATAAATTCTTAATTGTGACTTGATCCATCTTTTTTGTTGTAAGATATTTGTATGTAATTGCCAATAAGAAAGCTCTTTCTTTGTTCTACATATATTTGTTAATCAGAACCTGTTTCGGTTTGTATATGAATTGAATTAGTTGCTATGTGGCCCTAATAATTTAATCAATTAGAAGTTGCTAAATGTGACATAAAGAACTGCAATTGGCTGGCTCCTCAAGTTCTTACTATCATGCTCCTGCATGAAAAGGTTTGTGGGCAAAATAAACGAAGCCTAGAATATAGCATTTATTTATTTAGTAATTTTATTGGAGTTAGGGTCTTAGTAATTTTACAATTTAGTAATTGGTGTCATATTAGCTAATATCTCGTGTGAATTGTTTCGTGTTGACCAAGTCTGATAAGCTATAAATAGAAAATTAGTTAGAGAATGGCAGATCATAAATAGGACATTAATTAGAGGTGAGCATTAATTGAAGTAGGTTCTTAAGAAATAGGGCATTAAGTAAAGTATTCTCTTAAGAGAGTCCAAGCATTAATTGAAATTTTTTCTTGAAAGAGTCCTCAGAATTTTAAGAAAGCCTATGAGTTATTGAGACTTTAAGAGAGTTTAGAGATTAATCTTTGATCTTTTCGAAACTGTCTTCTTTATTTTGAGATAGTAATAGTATTACAAGTTGAGTTATTCATTTTCTTCCCTCTCACATATTTCGTTCGTGGGTGATTTAATGCCTCTAGTTTATAATCTTGCACGTTATTATAGCTAGAACTAAAAGTTTGAGTCCTACAATTTTTACTTGACTATCGTATTAGCTTAGTTTGTACTTCACAAGGGCTTCTTTCTATGAGGTGATACGTACATCACGTCAATTTCCAAGTTTGATATTACTTTCTTTTAACGAACAATATGGTGACAACAGTTCGTTTTAGTTGACAACGTTGTTGTATTAACACAGTAAAGATTTTATGTGCGGGTCGTATTGTTTGGATAGAGTATTATTCCAAATAATTATTTAGAAAAATTACTGTAGTAGTCTATTAGTTACGAGAGGACTTTTAAAAATTTTTTTATTTTATTATCAGGTTCAAATCCTGTACCTAATAATTGGGAATGAGAAGGATGTGCATCAATGTATTCTCTGTACACTGAATTACTTATAGTACACCGAATTACTTTTTAATGTTAAAAGTATTTTTAAGGCATTTAGTGGATATTATTCTATAAAATTAGAAATGTAACTTTTGGTATTAAAAGTAGTTTTAGCAAAAGCTTAAATTTGATAATTTTAAAATAACTTTTGTGTTTTAAAAAAAATAAAACATTAAATTTAATCATTTTATCATATATTATGAACTAAATAAAGAGATAAATATATTTTAAAAACTTTAAATTATACATTATCCAATACAATAAGTTTTTGTTGAACTATGTATCCAAAAACATAGTTAAAAGCACTTAAGCACTTAATAAGTGTTTTTATTATAAGTTTTATTAGTGAAATACTTTTCAATAAACTACTGCAACCTCAAACGGATCATAAGAATAAAAGCAAAAATTTTCAAAAGCTTGAGAGAGGATCCTATTGTTAGTGAGAATTGGCAAAAGGGGTGAACAAGAAGTAGTGGTGTATATACGTGATTTGCGCTTTTGCTTTTTTGGAGTAAAGCAAAGTAAAGAAGGGAAGAGCCAACACCCTTTTGGGCTATTGGTACTACCAAGACATTTAAGTCTCGGTGAGGGTGGGAGGTCAAGGGTCTTGCCACTTAATTATGGCTATCACTTTTAAGTGGCTTTCTTTAATGGAATTTGCCGTCGGCTTCCCTCCCTATAGATTATATTAGAGTAGATTATACAAATGTTATTGTTATAGAAAAAAAAAAAAGAGTAAAGAAGGAAAGAAACAAGAGTCACAATCCCGGTTAAAGCAATAAAAATGGAACACAACAAGACTAGACTGCACAAAATCACACACAATACCAGCAGGTGAAGCAAATTACCCGACTACTTACTAAACTTTTGGAATAGTAGGGTTTTGGTTACTTAAATTTTAAAAGCATGTATCTACTAATCAAATTATCAAAAATATAAATTTTGAATTATTCCGTCTGCTTCTACCGTCAAATTAGTCTGTCTGATGTAAGGATTTGCACTAATCACGAGGCATAACGGTGAAAACACACAAACGATTAGATCCAAAATCTATACTTTTGATAGTTTAGTAAATAAATATATATTTTTAAAAGTTATCATTCGAAAAGTTTAATTGGTAATCGGGTAATTTGCTCCCAGCTGGATGATAGGGAAAGGTGGGGGAATTTTAGTAACTTGTAAGTATCTAGAAAATATCTGTTGCAATTCTATTCCATGCATTACATTAGAAGCATGGCCGTAGTAGGTGGTGGAGCCAACAAACAAAGAAAGGTATCATGCCTCGATGAGCCGAAGCACCGCCACCGTCAGAACTCAGAACTGAACTTGGGACATAATCTACAGTGAAAGACAGACAAACACGCAAAGACAAACGTCTCTTCTTCATCATAATCACGATTGGCAACAAGGATACCGTACCACTGCTGCCTAGTGGACTAAAGGAAGGAAGCGTTAGAGATTTTCTTCTTATTATATGGTATATTTCTTACGTAATTCACAATATGGATGCCGTACTGCTACTATCTAGTGGACTAGTGGTGGACTACCGAAGCTACTGTTGGGATTTTCTTGTAGTTACACAGTTAGCATATTTTTCAACTAATTCGATGTGTACCCATATAATTTTGTTTTTTTTTTTTTCCTGTGGTAACATTTCGTGTAAAGGGACAACGAGTATATAAATTTGATTAGATCAAATAGGCACTTTGGTTTTTTCTTTAGATTATTTTTCACTGCAGGTGTGGGCGGAGTTTAAACCCTCGATCTACAGTTTTTTTTTAGTGATCACTGAGCTTTTATTGCATGTGTAAATTTTATTAATTATTATATTTTTTAATCATTTTTTTATTTCATGTACATCAAAAAATTTCGTAAAAATAGCAATTCAAATGGTTCAAAAAAACATACAATATTCGTACACAACCATGGTTCGAAGTCTCGGCCGAGACCGAGACGACTCGGCCGAGTCATCACCGTCTCGGCCCCTACCGATACGATACCGTGACGAAACGATACCAAAATACTTGACTCGCCGAGAAATCGGCCGAGTCGTCCCCGCGACGGATTGACTCGGCCGAGTCACTCCGAGTTATCCCGAGTCAAGACGAGAAATCAGCCGAGTCAC